TATCTTATCTTAACAAGGAGACTGGAGACAAGAAGTAAGGATGTGAGAGTGGGGAAGACATGGTGGAAGGAGGGAGGAGAGAAGGAGGCATAAAGAGGGAACAGAAATAAGGAAGCTAACTTATAAAAAATTAAGGGCGCGAGGAGAGAACAAAAGACAGGAGGCAAGAAGAGACAACAGGGATGGAGATGAGGAGTCTGTAAGTGTGAATAAAGTGATAGAAGAAGAGTCACGTGATGATGTACGTCCTTCCTTTAGAGGTTTGTGTTAAACATGCTCGGTTTGAGCTCAGCTTTTTAATTCTTTAGACAAACATAGAAAATCACAGCATGACAAAAAACATCACAGCCTTTATTTTCAATCATGTGACTCCGGCGCCCTCTGCTGGTCAGTGCTGACATCACATGGCTCAGAGACGAACAGTTTGTTTGCACTCAGGTTTATTTCTGATGTCATCACTCATCTCTGTGTCTGATAGAAGAGACAGGTTACTGTTAATGTTTGTCTGACTGACACAATAAAGCCTAAACATTTATTCTTTACTGATGTTATAGAATATTCACAACATACTTCATACCGTGTACATTATAACATACCATAATAGACCCATTTCTGTAATATACTTACATATCTATACTATTGCTAATATATATTGTAATATATCTATATCACTAAAGCACTTCTGGATGGATGCAAACTGCATTTCGTTGCCCTGTACCTGTGCATGTGCAATGACAATAAAGTTGAATTCTAATTCTAATTCTAATTCTTTAGTTACTTGATGTCGGTGAAATCTGTAGCTGGAGTGTCTGAGAGTCCATAAATGATTAGAGTATTGATCTGATGATGATCAGCACTCTCAGAGCGATGCCTCTTCATGAAGGAGGAAACAGGAAGTCTTCCTCATGCTCTGCCTCCACGACCCGACTCTGGATACGAGGAAGAGAAGGAAGGAGGAAGCTGCTGTGTGGAGATGTTCCGATGGTGAGGTGTCAGAGTGACACGGGATCCACAGCAGCTCTGACTGCAGTTTCCTGTTTACACATAAAGGCCTCCCACCTGTGGCTGCACATGCTGCAAATTTTTGTTGCCTAACAAAAAGCTTGAGAACCACTGTTGTATTGTACTTTGCACACCTCTGTTGCTTGTGAAACTTGCACACAAGAATTTCACTCACATGTGCTGTACCAATGTACCTGCACATGTGATGTGACAATAAAAGTGATTTGATTTGAAAAAAATGTGGTTGAATTACAACACTGCACGGTGCTTTAAAAACCTACAGCCACTTATGGCAAATCCTTGGTTGCAGTTGTTGCTGCTCAGTTAGCTCAACCAGTTATTATGTTTAGGGATTAATCACTTTTTCACACATGGCCATGAAGGTTTGTATTTTTCCTCTTAATAACAAACACCTTCATTTAGAAACAGAATTTTGTGTTTGCTTGTGTTATCTTTGTCTAATATTAACATTTATGTGATGATCTGAAACATTAAAGTGTGACAAGCACAAAAAAATAGAAAAACAATTTTTACTATTCTCTGTAGTACATGGAGTTCTGCCATGGACACATGACTTCTCGTAAATCAGCTGTGTTTACATATCTAACTGAGGCCCTCATGAAGACTCGCTGATTGGTCGATTCATCGTTATGTTGGATGCAAGGATTTCCTGTGACTAACCACAAAAGCTCAAAGCCAAACTGCAACTTCTCACATTGTTACTGACTGCAGTGTGCTGCTCTCTTCACTTTCAGCGTCAGCAGGAATCTAGTGTAAGTTATTTTAATTTATCTCATGAATTAAGCTAAAGTCACTTTCTTCTTCTGGTCACCATTTTTATTCTTTAAGATAAGACACAGAAAATATAGTTATTTTAAATAGATGTGGTAATATAATAAGTATTATTTAATAATTATACAGGTGAGGTTGCTGAATGACTTCCTGTCCCATCTGCTTGATGTGACCTTAGCTTTGGGTGTTACTTCATCATTACACAGTCTGCTGATTATTGAGCCAGTTTCAGTGCATCCGATCATATTATATTTAGATGAATAGAGAATAACTTACATCATTTATATGTATCATGTTTAACATAATTGTTTCAGATAATCTGATCTGCAGAATCCAGGGTTTTAGTTTAAATACATTCAAGTCTGATAATAGGCATTAATAACCAAAAAAAAGTCTGACAGGAGTCACTTTTGGATTTTCACAAAATAAAAACAAATTAGCTTTTTTCAGACTGTTAAGGGACAAGATTTCTACTTTGATTGTAAATCATAATTTTACGTTTTTTTCCTTTTAAATTCATATTCAAATAATATTATTCTTCATGTCTCGGTTAGAATATTATTTAAAGACACATTTGAAACTGCAGTGTGTAAATCAACTTTTATATAAATAAACCCTTTTTACCTTTTCCACTTACAGAGAGGTTGTAACAGCAGGTAACTCCTCATGTTTCCTGTGGCAGAGTTTTACACAAGATGCTCTTCTGAATGTTGCATCCAAATCATAATCGAGCTGTTCACTTTATCATATTGCTACAGCAACAAATGTGATCTTTTACACAGTTTATATCTGAATAATAAACTTTACTGAAACATCATGACAGTGGTTTTTTTTGTGTAATCATGAATTTTAGCGCTGCCTGCAGATCAGCTGCTGTGAGAGCGAACCTTCAAACATCTTTATCTGAACTTTAAACTTTTTTGTTGATAATTATCTTTCGCATCATAAGTTTAATTAAGAACAAGCATAAATGCCGTGTGATCACAAGTATGTGTATAAAACATCCTGGGTCTGCACAGAGGCGTCGTGGTGGGACACGTCTGTAACAGCTCACCAAGGAGGTGCCTCCTGATCAGAAATGACCTAAACAGACTGCTGAAACCATAAACATGTTTATGTAACTGCAGCTAAAATTAAATTTATGCTTTGAACAATATTAAAACTGCTGCCTCGTCATTAGTGCCCAGACCTACTGTCGTTTTACAATTATCACTGAGGGGAACTCTGCTGCTTAGTTAAGTTGTTGGGTAACAGTACATCTAACAATGCCCCCTAAGCTCAATCACATGGTTACATTTGTGAGAATATATTTTATGTAAGTTATGCTGTTGTAATAATCATTTTCTATGAACATGTGACAGTCCTCATCTGTTATTACTCGTAACTTCATTATGTGGTTCTTCTCTGTCATTTGAGAACTACTCAGTCTATTGTTATTTCATTCTGTTATTTTCGGTCAGTATGTTAACAGAGTTTACACTGATTAAAAAACATCTCTTGGTTTGTGGTTAGGCTGTGAATGTGCACACATCTTACAAATAAAGATGAGAATTTAGCAATTTAAATGGAAGCTAAAAGAGGTGCAGTGCTGTTTCTGTAGAAGAAGATGAATAGGAGAGTCTCACTACAGGTACATCAGCAGGTTTAATGTTTGTGTGATGCTGACTGTAGAGTGCGACGAGTGTTCACTGCCCTCCAGTGGCCACAGTGAGGAACTACAGCACACAATTATCAGCAAATCTCCGTTAACGAGCTACCGCCGATCGCCCCGTGCATGGGGCTAGACGGCCAACACATTAACGAGCTAACTGCGCTAACACACTAGCTCCCACCCATGTAATTGAGCATTGCATGGCACATCCAACATACTGTTTTACTTTAGTCCATGACTCGCTTACCTTCAGGGTCATATGTCACATGAAAACCAAAATAATTCCAAACGCCAGATCTGAATGAGGGTGGGGGAGGTCCACTTCTGTCTCGCTAGCTTGCCCTGCGCTCTTCCTTCTGACGATGCTGTCTGTGTGGAGCGCTCAGTGAATCTGCGTTCGACTACTCCGCCTAGGCTGCACTCTCGAGCCTAGGCGGAGTAGTCGAACGCAGATTCACTGAGCGCTCAACACAGACAGCATCGTCAGAAGGAAAGTTGATAAAATAAATTACAAATTTTGTATTGTTCGATACATATGCGTACCGAACCGAAAGCACTGTATCGAACGGTTCAATATCGATACGAATATCGTTGCACCCCTAATAAACATATATAAATAAAACCACTTTTTTACGTTAGTAATTCCTTTTGTGCATAATTTTATATTATTGTTAATAATAAATTAATTAAAGCAACAAAACAACCTGAAGATCCGGTTCGGAGCCGAAAGATCCGGATCTTTTTGGTGAGCCGAACTGAAAGAGCCGGATCTCTAAAAAGAGCCGGAAATCCCATCACTACCTTGTAGTACCATATCACCCTATTAGAGCACTTCGCTCTCGCTCTGCTGGCCTACTTGTTGTTCCTAGAGTATTTAAAAGTAGAATGGGAGGCAGAGCCTTCAGTTTTCAGGCCCCTCTTCTGTGGAACCAGCTTCCAGTTTGGATTTAGGAGACAGACACTATCTCTACTTTCAAGATTAGGCTCTCTATTCGGCACAGTGCTTTTGGAATGGCCAGCTGGTAAACCAGCTGACAGTGCAAGCAGGACACGTGCCCTTGGTGCACAGTCACTCAGATGCCCAGCAAATAAAATCTGGTCATTATTCTCTCCAGAGTTTTATCACATATTAATCATCCTATATGCTTGGAAAATAATTTCCTGGTGGCATTTTGGCACCAACAACCGGGGTGTTGTTCTTCTGTGTGAGTATCATGACTCACTCGATACAGCCTATCTCTGATAATTATGAAATGCAGTTAGGTCAGTGCTTTGTCAGGGTGCCCCATGTGACCTTAAATTTTTATCACCTGCTCACAAAGTGAGTGTTTCATCAGTTTCATGAGACTGCTTTAGTGGGAAATCACCTGTGGAGGCGGGGCCACACAGTAAACCCCTTTTGTGTCCTCCTCTCCCGAGTCAGCATTGGATGAGCTTGGGTCACAGATGAGTGCAGCACAGGCACTATGTGTCACTAACAGTTTATTAAACCCCGCCCAATCTGCCCCCAAAATTAGGGGATGCATCATGTGCAAACTAATTGGCGAGTATACCCATGGCACCTTACTGGCACGTGGCACGTCCATCCTGGACCGGGGGCTGGTGTCAAGAGGGTCAACAAGACAGGACAACTGCTCCACCTCTGTCAACAGGCACTCCTGATGCTGGTGTCCTGGCCCAGCCCAAATCCAGCACTCCTGTTGTAGCATTTGTGCAGTTCCCTGTGAGATAGGAGCAACTCCCTTAGTTACTAAAGACAGGAGAGAGTTGAAGGCCAGTAGTTGCAGCGGTTGCTTTGCAACTGGCGAAACTATAGTGCAGCGGATCAGACCCAGTAGCTCCCCCTTTGTGTGGCCAGGCTGTAGCCACCTGGTCTCTATACATAGCACCTTTTCCTCCGGTGAAAGTCCTGACACCCCTCCCCCACCCATACACTTTCACTCAAGACCAGGTTAAGAGACAAATGGAGTCTTCCATAAACTGTTCATGCTGAGTCTGAGTCTGCAGAGGGTCCCAGTGCTGTGGAAGACATCAGCCCTCGTCTCTGTACCAAAGACACCACGTCCCAGTGGTGCCCAGGATTACAGGCCTGTGGTACTGACCTCCCACAGTGAAAGTGATGTGCCAAGGTTAGTGATGTTGCCACAACCATACATGCCAACCCTCCCGATTTTTTCCCGGAGAATCCCGAATTTCAGTGCCCCTCCCGCAAATCTCCCGGAGCCACCATTCTCTCGAATTTCTCCAGATTTTCCACCCGGACAACAAAGTTGAAAAACCATATCACAGAATTCATAGAGCAGCCCAGCCAATTCCAGTCTCCAACAATGGCGGCAGCGACTTAGTTTTAATATTACTCTTTTTTCTCTTTCTGGGTCGCAAAAAAACTTTTAACATATTTTCAGGATGTCTGGAGTTTTGATCTCCTCCATACCTGCTGCATGCCCTGGAGGACGGGGCTGTGACCCCCCCACACCCTCTAGCACAGTGGTTCTTAACCTTGTTGGAGGTACCGAACCCCACCAGTTTCATATGCGCATTCACTGAACCCCTCTTTAGTGAAAAATAAAATGTGATTTTTTTCAAATTCAAGACATAGATATGTTTTTTACTGGTGCACAAAATGAGCCGTGCATGTCATGGCGGAGGCTCTGCCGAACCCCTGAGACTGACTCACCGAACCCCTAGGGTTCGATCGAACCCAGGTTAAGAACCACTGCTCTAGCAGATCATTAGATGAAGGAACCTTTTAATACAAGCGCGTCCATGCTCACAGGTGTACACACGGGTGCTCACACACACAAACTACACCCTTTTTGGCTCCTACCTCAAAGCACACTGTGCGCTGTCGATATTACGTGCTGCACAATAATGTTTGATATTTAGTATTTACTGTTATATTCCCATATATCATCGTAATGTTGTTTATTGTATTGCTCTCTTTTTCTTCTGCTTATTTTCTTTTCTTTCTCAAGAGGTGATCCAGGTGATTGATATATGTATTTTTTTGTCTGCTTATTTACTTGGTTTTTGTTTTGTTGCCTTTTATGCCGTCCCTCTTCCCTGCTGTTTTTCCCCCTCTTCCTTTCTCCCTTTTCTTTTCCTCATTCTAGTCTGTCCTGTATCTAGCAAGTGAAAATAAAAAAATAAATAAAATAAACAATAAAAGGTGAATCAAATAGACCATTACGACAAGGCTGGGATGGTCAATTTGGTAAAGTAAATCCGTTGGGCATCTTTCTTCGCCTTTAGACAATAACTCCGATGGCAAAAGAGCCAAACGGGACAGGCAAAAAAAACCAAAACAAAACAAAAAATATTTTCAGGTGAGAATCGATTCTAGAACATAAATGATTGGTATCGGAGGAATCGATATTTCAGGACTGCACATCACTAGTATAACTAGTATAGATTTGCACTTCCCAGCCACCGTGAGCTAAGAATGGTAGTTACGGATTAGCTTAAAAACACGTTTAACTTACCGAAAAAGTGCAGCAGAGCCTCGGGTCCTTCTGTCAGCTAGTCCAGTTTACTGAAGAACACCTCAGGCTGTCAGGTTTGTTTTTTTTTGCCTGTCCCGTTTGGCTCTTTTGCCATCAGAATTATTGTCTAAAGGCGAAGAAAGATGCCCAACGGATTTACTTTACCAAATGGACCATCCCAGCCTTGCCGTATTGGTCTATTTGATTCACCTTTTATTGTTTATTTTATTTTCACTTGCTGAATACGGGACAGACTTGTTCAGTCTGTCAGATTAAAACAGTCGGGCGTGTTTTCGTAGCGTAAACGCTGGCCCTTCTGTCACAGCCTACGCTAAATCTGCTATTCCCGGACAGAGATACGCAAGTTTCCTCGTGACTGCAGCTGTCAGTCAAAGCTGTTATGATGACGTTTCACCCCAATTTAACATCACCGCGGTAGGAATTAGAATGAAACTTATGGGAGAGGAGACCCCTTGGACATAAATCAGCGTGATGAGAACTATTGATAACAAAAGAAAGAATCTTTGGGAAAAAATTATCTGAGGAGAATTAATTAATTTTAGTCTGACCCCAGTCCCATCCGCTAACATGGAGGAGGCGGGGTTTATGACCTATACTGCAGCCAGACACCAGGGGGCGATAGAGACGTTTTGGCTTCATTTTTGGGGAGCTGTCGGTCGTCCATGTTTTCTACAGTCATTGGTCTAAACTCATTTACTAATAAACTAGGGCACCACTTTTTTTCTTCTCCACCCTGTGCTACCTTCACAGACCCATATCTCCATAGGAAATTACATTTCTCACAGAAATTCACAATAAAAGAAAGATATTTTTTTTTAAACAATGCAAACATGTTTTCAATCACTGAACTTTGATATTTTTAAACTCTTCTTATCTATCTTAAAACAAATGACTTTATCTAAGGACAGTTTCTGAGCTTAATACTTAAAAAGTCTGACAGTTTTACTCTCCCCCCAAAAATAAAAACAAAAACATGTGATCTATGATTTTAAGTGATAACATTGAATAGAAGTAGATACTCTATATACATATTCTTTAGTTGAAGACAAAAGTGACATTTTCTCAAGTTTTCTTCTTCTGTTTCAGGATCAGCATGGAGGATCCAAACGATTCACATCCTGAAGAAATTCCTGGAGTTAGAGAAAACCTGGAAAACAACGCCACTGCTGCAGCAGCTGCAAGGATTCAACAATGTTTAGAAACACTAAATAATATTCCACTAAATATCGCCATCACAGGAGAAACTGGATCTGGTAAATCCACCTTTGTTAATGCCCTCAGAGGGCTGTCCAATGATGATGAGAAAGCTGCGCCTACTGGTATTACAGAATCAACCTTAGAGTGTACGCCATATCCCCATCCAAACTATCTCAATGTTACTTTATGGGATATTCCTGGAATCGGCACCACCAAGTTTCCAGCTGATAAGTACCTGAAGCTTGTTGGATTTGAGAAGTTTGACTTCTTCATCATCATCTCAGGCATTCGCTTTACAGAAAATGACGTGAAACTTGTAAAAGAGATTGAGAGGATGGAGAAAAAGTTCTACTTTGTTCTCTCAAAAATTGACAACGATATACGAGCTGAGAGAAGAGAGACAGACTTCAGTGAAGAGGAGACTCTTAAAGTAATCAGAGAAGACTGCGTTCACAGTGAGTGTCTCATCACATAAATCTCAGTGATATCTGAGATTCACTTTTAAAAAACATTCAGATCGAAGTTTTAAATTATTTGTTGTTGTTATTTTAGGACTTCACATTATATGCATTTTTTTTACATTATCTTTATGTGTGTTTCTTCTGTGACACAGGAGTTGCACAGTTAGGCATCGAGTCTCCAAAGGTCTTCCTGGTGTCTAGCTTTGAGCTCCACCTGTATGACTTCCCTCTGTTACAGCAGACCTTAGAGAGAGACCTTCCTAAGAACAAGAGGGACACTCTGCTGTTTGTCATGCCCAACATCAACCCAGAGATCATCATCAAGAAGAAGGAAGCTTTTCAGAACAAAGTATATTACTACGCTACTCTGTCTGCAATTGGATCAGCTGTTCCACTTCCTGGGCTTTCCATGGTTGTTGATCTTGCTGTGCTGGTTAGTGCTGTCACAGAATATGTTTTTGCGTTTGGTCTCAATGTGTCATCTCTGAAGGGACTTTCTGCCAGAACAGGTGTGCCATACGCTGATCTGTGTGCTGTCATCAATTCACCACTGGCTGCAGCAGAAATAACTAAAGCGCGCGTCCAGCAGGCACTGACCGAACTTAAACACAGAGCTACAAGAACTGCAGCATCCAGATATATTCCAATTTTTGGAATCCCATTAGCACTGATTTTCTCTTTCAACGAAAACTGCAAAACTCTGGAATCGATCCTTGATGAGTTTGCTGATGATGCTCAGAGGGTGTTCGAAAGAGCTTTAGTCTGAATACATCAGCGTGAATTTGAAAGTAAAAGATGAGTAATGAATCATCAATAATAAATATACTGAAACCTGTAGTCCGTACATAGCTTGTACACTCGCTACAGCTATACCCTGTACATACTTATAGTATACTCATAACATACCATGTATATTGTAACATACCTATAATAGAGCTATATTCTGTATTATATCTACATTATCGCTAAAGAACTTTCTGAATGGATGCAAACTGCATTTCGTTGCCTTGTACTTGTGACATGTGCAATGACAGTAAAGTTGAATTCTATTCCATTCTATTCTAAACCAAATCACGTTGCACTTGTACGTTTGAGCCATAATCATGCTATAGTTAATAAGTGTATCAAAGGCCTCAGCAAGTCTCATTTCTTCTCATTAAATCAATACAGGAACAAATGCGATTTTATTAATCAGATAAAAACTGTTAGGAAGAGCTACTAACTTTTTTTTCTAATCTTTTGGTGATTTGATTTGGTAATGTCATTACTTTTTACAGATCAGGTCATGTGTTAGTTACTCCTGAAACATCATCATCTGAACTTCTTTTGTTTGATTTACTTTGTGATGAAACTCTTTTTTGTTATCATATCATAGCTTACAGCATAATAAATACTTTTACTGCAGCGTGTTTGATGATGAACAGAGATGTGTGGAACAGGAACTAAGCTGTGGTGTTTTTGTCCTGTTGTTTTTTTTTCTTTGGGTTTTCTTTGGGTTTACTTATAAGATTTTAAATTCAAAATTACACCACACCAAATCACACCAGACGAAAGAAACAAATTTTAAAACAAAACATCCAAACACAGAGAAAGGAAATCAAAAAAACCCACACTAGTTGGTGAGTCCAAATCAAAAGTAAAGACAAACCCTAGAGTCTGAAGAAGATGATCTTATGTGTGAAGTTAGACAAGGCACCAAAGAGTTCACTGAGTCGAAAAGATGTGGGGAACAAGTCCAGGAAGGAATCAGGGTCCGGCAGAAGTGCGGTTTCATATAAACGTAAAGTGCAGTCAAATAGGTTGAAGATTATGTTGAATCCCCATTAATATGATTGAAGAAAGGGCCCCAGTTTTCGACAAATTTAATGTAAGTGTCATCCAGACAATAAAGCACCTCTTCAACATACAAACATGCAATCATCTCAACCAAACCCAAAAAAGGGACATTTCCAGGAACTAAGAATAAACATTTTAGCTACAATCATGCCAAACATAAAGGTTTTCTAAAGAGGATGTCTAAGTGCCAGTGAGATTAGGGACCAGCTTAGCACTGCAACTATACCATCTGCCTTTAATTTTAAGCCATAAATCATTTATCGGTTATTTATTTATATAGCACATTTAATTATGACAGCAATGTTGACCAAAGTGCTGTACAATGTCTAGGGCGTGCATGTAACTATTTACACTGACCACAGCAGCCTCAAGTGGTTGATGTCTCGACCAAATCCCCGCAGGCTTGCTCGGTGGTCTCTTTGCCTTCATGACTTTGACTTCAGCATTATCCACAAACCTGGAGAACGTAATCAGGCGCCCAATACCCCTTCACGTAATCCCCTCCCAGATGTGGATGCCCCTATCGATCTTCTCCCTCCCTATGTGTGATTGGAAGCATGGACCTTCGTGCTCTATCTTCTGTAATTGTTTTGGACCGCCCGCATGTTCGTCAATTGCAGCTTGAGGACCCAGCCACAGGCTCATTGCTCCATCAGCTGGAAAGTGACCAACAAACTGAGGAGGATAATCATCTGAAGAAGTACGTTGTACACGATGGCCTCCACCCACTCAAGCAGATTAAACTGTTTGCTCTGTATAGGAATTTCTTTCACTTATGTATTAATCACATTATTGTATGATGCCTTGGTGCCACTGGATTTTAACATGTCTGACACTCATACGTTAATAGGGGGTCTAGTAAGGAAGTTGGGGGAAGCAGACAACTCCACAGGAAGAGTCTTTTGTCTCTTCGAGGACTCTGGTAGGTAGCAAGGGAGTGTGAACCTTAAGGTGTGAAACAGCTGTGCCTTTTGTTCCTGGAGAAGGTATTTAACTGAGAGCCATGCTAGGCTCGAGAGACTCTGCTGACCGTCTGTCCCGCGGACATGCAGGGACTTCATCAAGCTTGGTTGTCTGTTCTTTGTGTGTTTGATTAAAGAATGTTAGCTACCGCTCACCGCTCGTCTGCAGGCTTTATTTAAGTGGAAAACGTCCACAACCGCTCCTACTGCACTCCTTGGTTATCTGCTCAAGTATTACCACGATCATCCTACAGCCGGACATCTGGGCATTGCAATAACGCTGGCATGCTTGCTTCTCACATTCTTCTGGCAAAAACATGAACTATGATGTGAAAAAGTATGTGGTCTCATGCTTTTTGTGTCAAGCCACTAAGCCAACTCAAAGAAAAACAGCAGACCTTATAGTCCCTATCCAACCACAAAGACCATGGGAGTACACGTGTGTAGACTATGTTGGCCCACTGCCCCGCACACAAAGAGGGAATGCTTATATCCTTGTTTTTGTGAACTATTTCTCCAAATGGATCAAAGTGAGTGCTGTAAGAGAAGCCACTGCTCAGGTTGCTGCTAACAAGTTCATTACTGACATTTTTGCTCGATCTTACCTTGTTTCTGATAGGGGAACACCTTTCATCAACTATTTGAGCATGTTGTGCTAACATTTGGAACTGAACACAGACTAACAACTGCGTACCATCCTCAAACTTATGCAACTGATCGTGTAACTCACACTTTGAAGACAGCCATTCGAGCATATGTTGGGGATAAGCACGCTTCATGGGACAAATATCTTCCCCAGATCTGTTTTGCACTGTGTACTGTGCCTCACAAGAGCACAGGCCTGAGACCATCTATGATGCTCTATGGGCGAGAGTTGGACACGCCCTAGGACCTCATTACTCAGCCCTCCTGGGAAGGACTGAATGACCCTGAAACGTCTTACTCAGATAACCTGAGAGCTTCACTTCAGGATGGTCATGATCAGGGTTAGGGTTAACTAGTACAAGCATGGTGCTTGTAGAGAGTCATAAACGACAAAAGCATTTCTATGATCTGAGATGTCGCCTGGTCTCTTATGAAGTTGGAGACCTAGTCAGAGTAAAGTTGCACCCCAAATCAGATGCATCATCCAACTTTTCTGCGAAGTTGCCCCCCCCTTTACACTGGTCCCTACTCTATCTCCAAGAGGATGTGTGGTGCAAATTACTGTCTCACCACAGTGGACACTGGAGAGAATGTTGCAAACCTGCAACTATTCTACACCTGGGCCATAGCTTTATCTGGCAAATATGCAAATCTAAAGGCTTCGTAAGCTTTGGATCTCAGTCTTCCAGATAGCAGCTTGTCTCCTGCTCTTTCAGACCCAGACCGTAGTGACCCTTAAGGAAAAGATATATATAAATCTTATAAAGTTTGTATCTGTCTTGTGTGAAACTTGTATGAAAAGCATATAAGAGTTTTTCAAGATCCCTTGAAAAATTATAGAATGAAACTTGTATGTTTTGGACACTTACTAAAACAATGTATGAAAGTAATGAGAAAGTGGCCACTTTCATGAGTAATCACATATAACTTTTTACTATTTCTTTTCCATATGGGGACTTTGATGCTGTTGATAAAAACACTGTCTCTCCTGCTGATACTGTGAGCGTACTGATACTGTCCCACTTTTCTTGGACTGGAACTCTTCGCAAGAGTCTGCTGACATTGCTCTGGAGACAGCGGTTAACAGCTTACCTCCTGATGACAGTGGGTGTGCTTTTGGAGGTTCTTATAACCTCAGACCGAGATGTGTGCCTAGAGTCACCACTGACTGGTCAGGCAATAGCTGGACCAACCCTTTTCAGAGTGACAGATTTGACCTGAAGTGACCTTATTTGCATTTTTATGTATTTTGTGTAGTTTACTGTTGTAACATGTCTATTGTTTAAGTTTTCAACAGTTCATGTTGGTAATGCTTTCATGTTATGGTAATGTGTTCATGCTGACTGTTACAGTTTTGGGGGGACAAAAGGGAAAAAAAAGAAAAAAGGGAATTTTATTCTCTAATTGTCTTGGCTGTCCTAAGTTTATTTTCTTGCTTGCACGTGAGTGTATGGACAGAGCTTATATCTTTTACCTCTCTAACAATTTGCAACGTTACAGGTCGTGGGAACACTGTGCTTCATGTATGATAAGCAGCAGCCATTCAAGCGGGCCTTGTAAGATTGATGAAGAGAGTATGCATTAAAGGACAACATCTGTGGAATTCCCTGTAACAGGTTTCATTTTTGATTATACCCTCAAGCTGGACTAACAAATACATTCAGTTGTTCGTAGCAGTTTTTTCCAACTGAGAAGCATTGCTAAACTGAAAAATATCTTGTCATCTAAAGATCTGGAAACCGCTATCCATGCCTTCATATCATCACGTCTTGACTACTGTAACTCTCTCTATTTAGGCGTCTGTCACAAAAGCTTGTCCCGCGTGCAACTTGTTCAAAATGCAGCCACAATATTATATTTATTGGCTTTTGGTCCCACTAGTAGTCAAGCACATTATGGGGAGCTGCTATAAATATTAGATGTCATCTGAGCGTCCCTGAATTGCTCACCTGTTGTCATTTTGTTGTCATCCGGCTTTTCGGTCACTCAACTTCCCCCGATGTTACAGGTAGGAGTTGCATACATTTTGCTCCTGCCTTAGCCTGAATTGGTAGTACTCATGTTGTGCTGTTCGTGTTACAGAGATCATCCATGGATTACCTTCCTAAAGCCTAAATCGTGTCTGGTATGTGTTTATTTGGTGCCATGCGTACATTATTTCACTCTGTGGTAAATCAATGTTGTTCATAGGTCATAGCTGTAAAAGCCTCCTGTGAGCAACTCAGTTAGATTAGAGCAGTAGCAGCAGTTCATTTACACAAACAACCAGCCGCTTACATCTATAAATGATGATCAGTCACTGTCACCACTCATGGTTGAAGCATTTCAAATTCAAATTCAAATTCAAATTTTATTTGTCACGTACACAGTCATACACAGTACGATATGTAGTGAAATGCTTGGACAACTGCTCGTGACCTAAAGAAAACAAAAAAGGAAAAGGCTATGAATAAGATAGGAAATAAATATGAAAAATTAAAAAGTGTAAATTTAACTAGGAAGGAATAAAATATAAATTAAGGTTAAAAATGAAATAACTGTACAACACAAATTAGAATGAAGGGTAAATTTAACTGGGAAGAATAAGATAAAATATATAAATTAAAGTTGAAAATAAAATAACTGTACAACAAAATACACAATACACAATATAGAACTATATAAGAATGTATGAAGAAATCTAAATATAAATAAATATATACACAATAACAGTAGCTGTACAAGTATTAACCGGAAATGAAGAATATAGTGACCAGTGTTGTGCAAAACCAAAGTCCAGAAAGTCCAGTGTGTGTGTAAGAACCATATGTGTGGGTCAGTACTGTGTGGTGGTGTGATTGAGAGACCGTATCGCCTGCGGGAAGAAGCTCCTCCTCAGTCTCTCTGTGTTGGTCTTCAGGGAGCGGAATCGCTTTCCTGACCTCAACAGAGAGAACAGTCTGTTGTTGGGATGGCTGAGGTCCTTCACGATCTTCCTGGCCTTGGTCCAGC